GGGGGGCGGGGCCGCCCCCCCCCCGCCGCGGCGGTCCGAGCCCCCCTTCCCCGTCGGGGTCTCGGTACGCGGCGCCCGCCTCGCTGCCCGGCCCGCACCGGCCCCGCCGCCGCTGCTGCCCCTCAAGGTGATCCTGCGGTTCCCTCTCTTGTCCCGGGCCCCTGTGACTGGAGGTAACGCGTCGCCGGTGAATCCGGAAGGGGGGGAATAAAAAAAAACAAACCCAAACAAAAAACAAGTGGGAGCGCGGCCCGTGGCGCTTTGTTTGCAGACAAAGGAAGGCCTTGTGCTTCCACGCAGGAACCGTTGCGTGGTTCCTACTCCTTATTCAACCGCCGTGCTTTAAAAAAAAAAAAAAACAACTAAGCAAAATAACAACGATAAAAAAACTCACAGAACCTTATAGGATGGATGTTCAATGTGCTCTGAGTAAATAATGAGCTTTATGTGCTGTGCCTACCCACGTGCTGCCCTCCCTGCGCGCTGCGTTCCCTATCAGAGTTTGGGGTGGTTTTAGATGCATGCGTGCCGTAGATGTGATAAAGTACGATTTTAAATACGTAACAGAAATAAAGCTCATTATCCGTAATAGTAGTTACCTGAAGAAAAACTGCCAAATTTCTTTGGAGGGGAGGGACTTCGGCATATATGGAATCTCAAAATTTTTCTTTGGTTTTTTTATTTTTGTAGGGTTTGATTTAAATAAAAGATGGACTGGAGTGGAAAACATAACGGGCCAAATGATACGACTAATGATGGAACAGTGGTACGACTTCGAGGCCTGCCATTTGGTTGCAGCAAAGAAGAGATTGTTCAGTTTTTCCAAGGTACCTCTAGTGTAGTCGAAGAATAGTGACTGAGTTTTCTTGTACCTTTTACGCGATGTCTTGCACATTTTAATTTGTAATAGCTGTTAATGGGGTGGATGGGAGGGATTGTGTTAAATTAGCTTATCATAAGTAAGAATTATGCCCTGTAAATGAAGTACAAATAACCATAGATGTAGTAAAACACAGTATGTGTCTAATTTTGTCGAGGTGGTAAACATATTATGCATATGGGGATAACCTGAATGTTAGCATTTGGATCAGTTAAATTGCTTGATTGGTAGCTATATTTTCTTCATGTAACTTAGGTGGTTGTATTTTTGCATAGTATAAACAGAAGTATGGCTAAATCCATAAATGTTTAATGAAAGATCATTGGCTTGTATTGTTGGGTGATGGGGGAAACAAGGTGGTTTTCTTTTTCGTTGTTGTTGTTTAGATATGCTTTAAGTATTTGCTACAGATGGGAATGTTTCAGCCTTTAACACTGTTCCCCTTGATGGGGTTATTTGTCCTTGGGTTAAAGGGTTGGAAATCGTGCCAAATGGGATAACATTGACGCTGGACTACCAGGGGAGAAGCACAGGGGAGGCCTTCGTGCAGTTTGCTTCAAAGGAGATAGCAGAAAATGCTCTGGGGAAACACAAGGAAAGAATAGGGCACAGGTGGGGATGGAGAGTTTGGGATGGTGTTAAATCTTTATTTTTGGGGGTTGTGGGTCAGTAATGCTTTTGGGGGGGTTGGGGACCATTATATGGAACTGGCTGTTTTTAAGAATTTTTATAACTGATCCTAAGTTAACTTGGGGAATACAGTAGATTTGGGGGGTGGGGGAGACAGTATTGCTCTGGGTAGTTTGCTAAACTCAGAAAATTGTTTCAATCGTTCTTGTGTAGGGTAATTTGTGCTAAATACTACTATAGCTAGACATTGTTTTTCAACAGTATGTTTCTCATACTCAAAAGACATGTTTTATGCTTAATTTGTACAGCTAGCATTTTCAGACAGTAATTTTTGCCACTGTAAAGTGTTTTGGGTTTTTTAATACACTTAAGATTCTTACGGTTTTGAGGAGAAACTTAAGTTGTATGGTATCTCTAGTCACTTCTATTGGATTGTACGTTTAGTTGTAGAAAACGTAGTATGGCCTTTTGTAATATTCAGACAGCTTATGCATGTATTCTTATTGGTGCCTTGAAAATCCTCTTTTATTAGATATATTGAAATCTTCAAAAGTAGTAAGAGCGAAATCAGAGGATTCTGTGACATGCCAAGAAGAATGATGGGACAACAACGACCTGGACCATATGATAGACCATTAGGAGGAAGAGGGGGTTATTATGGAGCTGGGCGTGGAAGTATGTATGACAGAATGCGTCGAGGAGGTGGTGGATATGACGGTGGTATGTTTATCTAATGAATGGAGGTTCTGTTGTCAGTTTCATGTTTCTGACATCTTTGTCAGGAAATAAAGAAATGGCAGTAGCTGCAGTGCCTGTTAGGTTTGACACGCCTCTCAAAAAATGTTTATTTGTAATGTATCAAAAAATGTGGCTTAGTATTTAAGATTAATGGAAGTCATAAGGAAACTGTATTTTCAGCAGAATTTGATCTCTCACTTGCATGTTTCAGTCTTCTTACTATATAAATGGAATTTTACATTCTCACTCTCTTCAGAAATCCAGGTTTAACAGTCTGTCGAGGTTTCTTCTGGGTGCCCAAAGATTGAAAAATTGACTCTTGTGCATCGCTTGGTGAATTTTCAGTAGTGATGTAATCATTCCTTTCTTTCTCTCCATTGTACAGGATATGGTGGCTTTGATGATTATGGTGGCTATAATAACTATGGCTATGGAAATGATGGCTATGATGACAGAATGAGAGATGGGAGAGGTAAAAAAAAAATTTCATGGCTTGTTTAGAAAGATTTTTGTATTATTTGAGTTGTAAGACGTAGTATTTCCAAGACACGCATAATCATTTTCTTCATTAGATTGTTTTGTAAAGAAAGAAGGTTGTTTGAAACGGGGAGAGGGGGGGATTGGGGAATCTCAGGACAATGTAAATATATTGCTTAGGGTATCTTCTGGTTAAGTATTTGGTTTGATAGACGGGAAGCGTAAACATCTTCTATTCAGTGGCATAAAGTGAGTGCTTTCAGAAGAACAGTAGTAATGACTTTTGTGGCTTTCCATGATGATCTTACAGGTGTGTGGTTTTGTCTGGTTTGGGTTTTGTAATAGGCATGGGAGGACATGGCTATGGTGGAGCTGGAGATGCAGGGTCGGGTTTCCATGGTGGCGGTCATTTTGTTCACATGAGAGGACTGCCTTTTCGAGCAACAGAAAATGATATTGCTAATGTAAGTACAATGGGGGGGAAAGGGCTTTCTGATGCCAGGAGTTTGCATGATCTTGTCTTTCCTATTCCAAACTCGGTTAAAGTTCTCAAACAAGTGATCGATAGCTCTAAGACATCTGCTAACTAAAGTCACGGCCCTTTATGGGAGTTTTACAAAACTTAGTAGTAAATGAGCTTTTATAAAGGTAATGTCTGAGGTGAGATTACTGAAGAAGTCAGCCAAACTATATTTAACATTAATCTCTGTACTCTGCTCCTTCATTTCCATAAAAGGTGTACTGGAGAGAGGACAGTTGTTGCAATCAGTATCTTCATTTTAAGGCTTTCAGAAGTTTGTTTAAGCTTAACTGAAGATTTATAATCTTGTAAAAGAGCGATAGAGGATGTGAAACTTTGACTGTGGCTTGTATATT